GACTCAACACCAAAGGCGCACGGAACGCTGTTACCTTCCCACCAAAGGTGGTCCCTGTTTTTCTACATGCATTTTTTACATGCTTTCGAACTGCTGGGTTGGCAGAAGCTGGGACAAGTAATGGGAGCTCAACCCGTTACGCGGCACTAGGGATTCGAACCGCTGAACTGGCGACCTTTCGATCAACAAGCTCAGCATCTTAGCCACTGAGCCCCGGCATCCCATGTGTAAACAGCTTAGAGTGCTGTAAAAACACTATGAAGTAGTATATGAGTCTCAATGCTATTACTATAACCAACTTGGGATTTATTCTAAAAATTTGAGAAGTAAAAATGAAAAATGAATTATCTTGGTTATTCCTTTAAGAGACCATTACTGTGTTGGTTCCTTGGCTACCAAAGATGATGTAAGTTGATTTTTGCTGCTGTTGAGTCTTCACTCTGTTGACTTCTACATCTGTTGAAATTCTGCCTGCCACCTGAAAACCCCATCAGAAAATCTCCTTGCAGGCAATATTGTATCTTGAACCATAAGCTCTTGCTTATAAGTCCCCATTGCACGGAAACAGGGTGGTTTAATAGCTGCCTGTATGTAATTACACACATTCACTCTTGATTGATCGATCTATGCTTCGTTAAGGAACCCAGTTGCCTGCATTCATACAACAGGTTAGCAGGTAAGCAGGTAATTTTCTGTAAATGGCCTGTCTACCTTAACAGTAGCATTAAAATGCCTTTTAATAAAATGTGTTTATCACACTCCTGATTTTTAGCACAGGTAATGCTCAACTTACAATTGGTCACTCAGCAATCATTCAGAATTCCAGCGGAGCCCTCCCCCACTTAAGACCCAGTTCCAAAATTCTGCCCCCCTCCCTTTTCATATAACAGCATTTGGCAGCTGGGCAACTGTCCTGCATTTATGGCCATTTGCAATGTCCTGCAGCAATTTATGCTTTGGGGGGGGGAATTTACTTCCTGTTTCCAGCAAAATGTGTCCCTAGTGATTATTGGGTTTGTTTAATGACCATGGTGGATGCTTGAGTTTGCTTAATGACCTCTACAAAAAAAGGTGGTGAAATTAGCTCATTGCATGATGTCCTAGTTTATGACCATCAAAACTTACTCAATTGCAGCCGTAAGTTGAGGACTACAGTACCTGTATGATGAGTAATCAAGCAAGCCAGCTGGCATTGCAGAATTAATGCATTTAAGCTGAAGGGTTTGCATGAACTCAGCTGATGTTTTACAAGGGAAAAATTGGAAAATGTCATTCTGTCACCTCCTAAATGTCTGTTTCAAAAAAACTTAAGCCTGGAGGTCTGCAAGAACTTGATGGATTTCCTAATGTTGGGGGGGGGAATGAAAGCCTAATGTTGAAGTTGGGGGGGGGGATTCTCAAATACAACCAGTTTCCTGTGATTAGAACTTTGTTTCTTGATCAGAGCTTCTGGGAAATTGTCTTAACCAGCAGGTTCTGCAGGCTGAAAAAGTTTGAAAACCCCAGTCCTAGGAAAGCGCAGAATTTTTTCCTTTCTCCCTAGAAACCATGATAATTAACGATATATACTAAAAATCTTTCTCCATACTTTTTAGTGATCAGACTAGTCCTCTGCATCGTCTCTTGAAGAGATATTCAGACAAGGTACAGTTAAAATTTATTTACTTTATTGGTTTGTATCCCACCTTCATTTTTACAAATAACTCAAACTGGTGAATATACGTAATATTTTCCTCCTCCTATCTTCTCCACAACAACCCTGTGAGGTGGGATGGGCTGAGAGAGAGGGATTGGTCCAAAGTCACCCAGCCAGCTTTCATGCTTAAGGTGGGACAAGAACTCACAGTATCCTGGTCTCTAGCCTGGTGCCTTAACCACTTTTATCCGACAATTAAAGACATCAAAATCTGATTTTGCAGCTGGCCATCCAAATTCCATCTTGATTTTGAGAAAATAGAAATGGCTTTCATATATTGGCTAGTGGCCTCTGATCAGTCTGTCCCAGGGGTGAAATCCAGCAGGTACTGACAGGTTCTGGAGAACCGGTAGCGGAAATTTTGAGCAGTTCAGAGAACCGGCCATATCCTTCCCCCAGGAGTGGGGAGGGAATGGGGATTTTGCAGTATACTTCCCCTGCCATGCCCACCAAGCCATGCCCACCAAGCCACACCATGCCCACCAAGCCACGCTCACAGAACCAGTAGTAAAAAAAAAATGGATTTCATCACTGATTTGTCCTTGTGTTTATTTTAAAGGGCTGTCCTGTCCATGTTTAACAGAATAAACCTCTGGAAGCAGGGAGATTTCCATGGGGAAACTAAGCCCAGAATTGCAGTTTTCCTTTTACCCAGATTCAGCCTTTCCTGGCCACAAATGATAGCTTAACTATGTGTAAAACCAGCTTACCATTGATCTTTGAAACCTTCCATATGTGCTAAAATATTGCAGCTAAAAGAACAGATGTGCAGAGCTAAACCCTAATTTGTTTCATAAGCCATGATTGACTGATTTTATACATTAAATCCTAAATGCAGGCTTAAAAGTAGAGGCTGCTTACATTTCATGGATAATTTAACCAAAGGGTGAGGAAGAGATGCATTACTCCATTTTTTTTACCTTCACATTGAATCATAATGTAAACCTGGGTGGGATTCTCATAGATTTAATGAGTTAGTTTAATAGTTCTCAAAATTGGCCATTTTAAGATGTGTGGACTTCATTTTCCCAAACTTCTGCCACAAAGTTGAAATTCACACAAAGTTGCCAGTTTCAGCAACTCCACTAATACGTTGCTCGGTTGGAAGCTACTGTATTGTATGAAGAAGGCAAAGATTTTGGGATTGGGGAGAGTCTGTAAAAAAAGGAAGTGAGAAAGGATGGATGGATGGATGAATTTACAGCATTTATACAGATGCCAGACGTAGCCACTGTGGGCAATATATGCCAATAGTAAGAAAAATTAACCATATATTCCTAAAACACACATAGATATGTATGTTTTTGAGATTACAGTTATTTTTCCATCCTCTCTTAGACATAATTCTTTAAGGTCTCTAAATGCCTTTCGAAATTGCTTTTTTCCATTTCTGGTATATCCTTTCCTTTTTTTTTTACTAGCAAATTTTTCAGATCTAATGTTATAAGCATCTATGATGTCATTTCCCCTACTTTCTTGAGCAAAAGGGGTAGTGAAGGAGGTGGAAAATTCCCATTTTGCATATCAAGGACTTTTTTTAGGAATATGTAATTGATTTCTCTTACTACTGGGGTCCAGTGCCCAGCATCGTATCGGTTTAGTTGGGCAGCTGTGTAACTGCTCTACATCCATTCATCCATCCTATATTTTCAGATCTATCCCCTCTCCAAATCTTTTCCTCCTTCATACTCTAGCTTGATATTGAGTTATACAGATTACATTGTTGTTCAAGCTGGCAATTTGGTATGAACTTTGACTACACTTCAATTCCCAGAATCCCCCAGCCAACCAAAGTCCAGATAAATATATATTTTGGATTGTGCCATGTCGTTCATCTTAAGGAGGGGAGGTGCTCAGGTGTGCTCCATTTGTCTCCTCCAACTTTAAAATTCTCACAGGGAACAAATAAACTGAGATTAAAGGTGCAAATTGCAGGCAAAAACTGACGAAGGGAACGTATGAACTGGTTTCTAGTCAAGATTTGGGTACCCCTCACAGTCCATTATGCAGGTCTTTATAAAATTTGCATTTTGGGTTAGTGGGGTATTTGCACTTCTGGAATATCCTGGATTTATGGCCGGATGACAGGGAAGGGATCTTTAATACAGATAGTCCTCAACTTGGAACCATTATTTAAGTGATCATTCAGTTTGAACAGCATTGTTTCCACACTTAATGACCATCGCAGTATCCTCATGATCACGTGATCAAAATTTGGAGATTTTGGCAATGGGCATGTATTTATGGCAGTTGCAGTGTCTCAGGATCATGTGATTCCCTTTAGTGACCACCTGACGAGCAGAGTCAGTGGGGAAGTCAGACCCATTTAAGCACTGTGACACTTAACTTTTAACAACTGCAGTGATTCACTTAACAATTGTGGCAAGCAAGGGGCAAAACTTACAATCACAATGGTGATTGTAAGCTGAGGATCACTCGTATTAAACAGGCGTGGAAAAGAGCCTTGTTCTTAAAAGAAAAAATTTATTAAAAAACCCTTTTAAAATTATTAATTACAAAGGCCACAAGACTCCAAGACTTCTTCACAGGCACCACACTGGATAGATCTAATCTGGTAACTAAACAAGCATCTTTCTCTCCCCTGAGGTGTGAGAATGGGGTTGGGTTCCCTTTTGGTTGTTTGAATCAGGGGTCTCCAATCTTGGCAACTTTAAGCCTGGCAGACTTCAACTCCCAGAGGCTGGGGAATTCTGGGAGTTGATGTCCGCCAAGCTTAAAGTTGCCAAGATTGGAGACCCCCTGGTCTGAATCAAAGAGGGACAGTGTGTGTGTGTTTGGGGGGGGGTTAATTCCACTAAGCATAACTCTAGCTACCGGATACCCTACGATCAGGCGCCTTCCTCTGAGGTACGACTTCCATGTCTATCATTCTCAAAGTCCGCTGGGGTCATTTGCCAATAAACCCCCTCTCCCTCGCGGCAGGGATTCCCACCAGGCAGCCTCCGCCGCCCCTCTCCCACCTCTGGCTGCAATCCGGAAGGCTTGCTCTACTACAGTCAATTCCAAAGGGGAGAAAGAAAGACGGACGGGAGGGAGGGAGGGAGGGACGCCTCGAGTGGTGCCCCGGGAGCCCGATCCACCGAAACGCGGCGAAATTCCTGCGGGCGAGGCCCACGCGCGCAAACAGACGTGTGAATCCCTTGCCGCCACACGGATCCAGCCAATCCCTGCGCTTTCCTTTCTCTCTCTCTCTCTCTCCGGGAATGGAAGGGAAGGGAGGCTACTAGGCTGCTGCCCGTCCCCTCTTACTCCTCCTCCTCCTCCTCCTCCTCTTCCCCTGGCTGCTCCTACCGCCGCCGAGCGTGACTCCGCCAGGGAGGAGGGCGAGGAGACAGGGAGGCCGGGCAGGAAGCGGGCCAGGCTGTCTCTGGTTGAGCTCCCTGGTCACCTCCTGCGTCAGCGCACAGGAGTTTTCCACTGACGAAAAAGGGCAGCGCAAGCAGCTGGAGGAGGAGCGGCGGCGGCGGCGGCAACAGCAGCGGCGGCGCCCTCCAGATCAGAGCAGCGCCAAACACGGACAGGCAGCTCAGCGCTTCTCTGCTGCTGCTGCCTCCGCGGCGATGCGCGCCTGAACTGCCGCTCCGCCAGCCGGATTTCCCCGAAGCCGTCTCTGCATTTCTCCGGCGGATGTCCCTGGAGCCTCGAGCGGCGCCGGTAAGTGTCTCCGTCGGGGCGCCTGGCCGCTGGAGCCGGAGGCGTAGCGACGCCGCCACCACTGGGACTCTCCTACCCGAAGGAGGGGGCGCTCCGGGGCCAGCGGGGAAGGGTCCTGGCTGGCAACGCGGGGCAGGAGGAGGGAAGGGGGCTCCCTATAAGACGGGGCCCGTTCGGGTTTTAGCCGGAGGGAACTCGCGTCTCGTCTGGGATTCGAGAAGCGGAGGAAAAAGGCACGTCGGGATAGGAAGGGCAGAAGGCTAGCTACACTGGAAGTGGCGGAGGATGCCCGACCTGGAGGGGGCGCTGTGGAGGCTGGGCGATTGAGAGTTCCCACCGTCGGAAGGGAATTCCAACTCTGGCCGGAGTTTTGAAGTCGGGGGTGTCGTCCTTCAGGCAGACACTTGTTTGAGAAACTGTGTGTGCGGGTTGGGGACCCGATTCCCAAGCGGTGGGGCCCCTGGCAAGAGGCTGTTCTTGACTCAAGGTTTTGCAACCGCAGCGAAGGAGAGGGTTTGTTTGAGCTGGACTAGGCTGGCGGGCCGGGAAACGGTTTTCCGGGTCGGGTCGCGATCCCTGGCCCTGCCGGGGCCAACCCGAAGCGACTTCGCTTTTAGCGTTTCCTCCCGGATCGACACCAGGTGCGCGCCCGATTAACGAGGGAGAGCAAAGCGCTCAGGGGTCGGGGAAACTGCCTGCCTGCCTGCTGATCGGATCCCCAGCTCACTTTTACCTGCGGGGCATTGTGGGGGCGGGAGGGGTAAGAGAAGGTTGCTGGCGGGGACGTGCCAGCCCGGAGGATGTTTTTTTGGGGGGAAGGGGTTGACTAAGTCGCGCTCCAATTCCTTGGAACTGGGCGTTTGGGGGTCTCTTGCTGAGTTCGTTCCACTTCCAGTTCTGATCCACCTCGAGAGATCTTTAATACCGGGGCTGTTGTGGGACGAACAATGAACCCTCCCCCTCCCCCAAACGATGTTGATAAGACTAGTGTGAGTTTTCTGGATCCACAGAGGGGGCTGATGCCCTTCACCGAGAGTACGGCTAAGAATGAATGAAGGTGGGGCGTTTTTCTCTCCTAAGCGCTCTCTTCCTGTTGGTCTCCTCTCCTGCTTGTCATAGCTACTCCGGGGAAATACTGTGTGTTTGATTCCTGGGAAGTGACTCATCGCAGCCGAGCAGCAGTAGAAGTCAGCTCTTCTTCTAAACATGGGGGCTTGCCAGTTAGTAAGACTTGCATCATTTAGCAGTGACGGAATGGTGAGGCTGCTGGAACTCAGCTGCGATGATGTCACAAACTGACAGGAACCCAGGCGTCAGCCCCCAGATGTCCGGTTAAAACTTAGCTAAGGGGATTGCTGTCTTTTTCCCTTTGACGTCTGAGAAGGGGATCAGAATCTGGCATCGTCTCTGTCAATTTATTGGGTTAGTTCCATATTAAGTTCTGGTCCAAAGTACTTCTTGCTTTTGTGCTTAGGTTGGCATAACTCTGAACAGAGATTTTAGTTCGAGGCACAATTTGGTGGTGGTGGTAGTTATACATCAGGTGCGAGCCCCCCCCCCCCATGAAGGAGGTTTTAACTTACTCAGAATAAACCTGTAGGAGTGGCTCTCAAAGTAAACTGGTAATTCTCTTGAGTCCCATGAAGTTTTGTTGTGGTTTAGTTTTGAGCACACAGACTGACAATGAGATGGGAAATGTTTCAGCCTGTGAACTCTGTGTATGTTGCTTTCCTTGATAGTAAGAACTCTGTGAAATCTGTAGACTGGGATACAAATGGAACTAACCATGGGAAAGTCCCTTCCTTCCTTCCTTCCTCCCTCCCTCCCTCCTCCTTCTCTCTTTTCCCCTCTTTTCTGATTTACTTTTTTAACTCCAATAACAGTTCCAGTTCCTTTTTTTTAATAAAACTAATACAATCTCTCTCCTTTGTAACTAGAGCAACCCCTACTGGTACTAAGGAAGATTAACCACAATACCATTGTTTGCTAAACTGTCCTGTATGTTTGATTTTCTGAGCTGAAGGGGTATCAGCTCTCCATAAAGTTTTAACACTTAAAGCATTAGTAGTAAGGTTATATCTCTGTGTGTGTGTGTGTTTATTGGGGTGAAAAATCCTTTTGATGCTGTGTAGAAACTTATAAAATAAATTATTGTCTGCAGTCCGGATTTGTACATAGTATATGGTTCTGATTTCATCCTTTAAAACTCTTTGCTTACCTTTGGTTACCTATTTAAGGGTACAGCATAATGAAGTTGAATCAGAGATTGCTTAAACATTGAGTAATTAGTATATACTTTGATTGTACACGGACTGATTATTAACTACACAAAAGATTTAAAAATCCACACACTTTTACCTAAAATAAATTTCTTTGTGCTGTTGCTGAAATCATTCTTTTGAAATCAAAACTGAGTGGTATTAAAATTCATCGCATGAAATCTTCCATAGTAGCCATTCTAGTTTTAGTTTTTATTTACTTTTTTTTTTTAATTTCATTTGGGAAACCAAGGCAGAGTTTGCCAGTTGGGATAAAACAGATGTCAACTTCCAAAGGGGTCTTTTGACCATACAGTAAACCATGTTGAAGGCCCATCAACTTACATTTTAAAAAATCTTAGACTCAGAAAAAAATCCAGATCTTTTTTTCTTTGTGCACCTTTACTTTTATGGCCAGAGGGAGTGCAACTACCAAAAAGAAAAACTGCTGATTTTATAATATGGGGGAGAGGAGAAGGGAGAGGGGTTTGAGTTGCATATATATATACCTTGGGCATCTTTAGGTTGAAAGCATTATTAGGCCCCAAATATGGTAATCTTGTAATGACCACTAGATGTCACCAAAGAAATATTTTTAAAAACCCCTCTCTTTGCTGCCATCTATTGGCTATTTACACTTCTGCAGCTCAGCTGTCAGAGTCCTTTTCCACATTTTTTAAAAATGCCTTTTGACTCCTAACAACTGCCTAGATTAGCCCTCGCAGTTTTTAGAACTGATTTGCCATTGCGTGCTTCCTAAGGACTGAGAGAGAGTGACAGACTGACAAGCTGACTTGTTAGAAATAGCCCAGTGTATACATTAATAGTTCCTATAAATTAGGGGACAGATTGAAGGGGAACAAAGAAAATATGTGGACCCCCTCTATTAATGATGGAATTATCCACTGTAGGAACTTTAAACCACAAGAAAGGCTTTGGATAAACCTGTTCTCAAGCTCAGCCCCTGTCATTGTCACTGTTCCCATTTTACAGAAAGTAAATTGGCTGCGTTGGGATGAGAGAGCTGCTGAATTATATCTGCAACAGAGAGCATGAACTGAACCCAGAGCTTTTGGGACCTGAGGGCCTTCTCTTTTTATTTATTACGAGTGGTCCTCAACTTACAACAGTTCATTTAGTATCTGCTCAAAGTAAGAAAAGTAAAGTTATGCCCATTTTTCACACTTACAACTTTTGCAGCGTCCCCATGGTTATGTGGTCAAAATTCTAGAGCTCTAGCCTGCGCTCTAGAACCCGGAAGTTCAGCTTTTCTGGAGCGTGGCCCCAATGAGAGCACATGTGCTCAACGTTTCCGTGCGAGTGCCGAAAAGGGTCCCTATCACTGCCCTATATTACCGTATTTTTCGGAGTATAAGACGCACCAGAGTATAAGACGCACCTACCTTTTTTGGTGAGGAAAAGAAGAAAAAGAAATCTCCCTCTGCCTCTGAGCAATTTTGCCTCCTTGCAGCAAACAGCAGAGCCCTGAGCAAAACAGCTGAGAGCAAATCAGCTGAGAGTCGGGAGGCCGATCCAATCAACTTGTGCTAATTAGCCTGTGCTGAAGCTGAAAGGAGCTGTTTTTTCTTGCTGTTTGGTTGCAAGGAGGTAACTGCTGCGAGGCAGAGGCCAAAGGGTGGGGGCCAGTGGGTGGGCGGGGCTACATTCGGTGTATAAGACGCACCTAAATTTTCACCCCCTTTTAGGGGGGGGCAAAAGGTGCGCCTTATACTCCGAAAAATACGGTATTTCAGACAAATGGTGATCCAATCTCCTCTTAAAAGCCTCCAGTGATGGAGCACCCATAATTTACATCGTGGCAACCACAACTGGATGGCATATTCCAATGTGGGCTTCCCAAGGCATTATAAAGTGACATTAACCCTCTCCACCTATTTTCAGTCTGTTTGCAGGACACTCTGTCTGTGCATTATTAAGAATCCTGCTGTTGGTCTTCTGTTCTTGTGAAATGCTGAAATGAATTTAGCTGGAGGTTGTGATTGGCTTTATGAATTTTAGGGTGCAGGTGCTTTCTTCCCACCTCCCCACTTTGTTTGGAAGCGAAGTCATTGTACATTAAAACAAAAAAAAACAAAAAAAACTTCGTCCTAGTGCACCATCCGTGTTTCGCTCTGAAAAGTTCTCCAGCTGGTTGTGTGTTATTAAGAGAGTTGTGTGCAGCTACATGTAAAGTTAAAAGGTACGATATACAGAGCGTATTCACTGGGAGACCAACACGGGAAGTGTTCTGAATTATTCATTGGCAATCAAATAGAGCATTTGAAATATGCGCTGAGCGGCGTTCAGATGTTTGCCACCACGTTTCCATCCTGATTTTAAAAGCAGGTGGAATATTTATAGATGTAAATAAATATTTATAGGTGCAGAGACAAATCTTCTGATCCATTGTATGTACTGATGATGGATCCATCATCTTTTGCAGTACACTTGGATTTTGGTTCACATTTTGGTATGGAAGCCTCAGATTGGTGATACCGTTAACTTCAATTTATAACTATTTATTTATTTATTAGTCCAATTTATATGCCTCCCTTCTCCGTAGACTCAAGGTGGCTTACAATGCCTTATAGCAATAGCCTGCATACTTTTTGTATATACCTGCTTATTAGGGCTTTCAGGGGCCCCCTAAGTAGTGTTGTTCTATACAAAATTGGCTTATTGCCCCCCACAATCCGGGTCCTCAATTTACCTACCTCGAAAGGATGGAAGGCTGAGTCAACC